TGCTATAAATAAAATAGGAAACATGAAAACATGATTTATAAAGTAAGTGATAAAATAAAAACAATAACTTTGAAAACACTAATCTTCACAATAATCATTTTCGAATCAAACAAAAACTGCGCCGCTGAACAGAGCAAATAACATGTGAAAAATAGAACATTAGCCCGTTAAGCTACATGATGATGATGATAACGATGGATTTTTTTAAGAGATTTGTGCATACTTGCATTTATTTAAAAAAATAAATATTAAACGAAATATATTTCAATGCAAAACAGAGAGAAACAAATAAGAAAGGCATTGAACAAATCAAATTTGATTAAAAATCGTAATAAAAAACTCCAATTAAGAACTAACGTGTGATGATAGTAAAATGGTATGTTGCTATATTGTGTTTTTTAAATTGTATCTTTCCGAAATGATTTAATGTATAGAATACAAATAAATCGTTGAAACTTTATTTTTTTATTTAAATTAGTCATCTATAGAATTCTACACAAATTGTTGTAGGTACGCATTGATTATCATAGTTTATTTATTCTTTTACCGTTAAAAAATGTAAACTATTAGAAATATAAAACATAAAGTTACATACTTTAGTTATGTTTTTCGTATATCCAACTGATATTATAATTTATAACACTTGAAAACATATTTTATAGGCTTATCCGTTTATTTGTTCTAAGTTGAGCACACAAATACGTCGCTTTTGTACACCACCGTGAATCCGCCGTACCCGTAGTATTGGTTACACTTGCTTTGTAAGTGTTTGTGTATTTTTTTTTTTTTAATAAACATGTGTTCATCGCGACTTTGGTTGGCGTTGACAATTTCAACTTGTCTTTGGCTGAGTTGCGATATGTGTCAGAAATTATCGTTGAGCCATTATGAAGATTTGTTAAAAATCGATAGAGGATATTATGACCGTCGGCACGTCGTCGTAAGGCAAGCAGAGGAAACGGAGGACACTTTAAAGGCTAATATCGATGAGATCTACCGGGAACTTGTGTGCGGTTACGTTTTCAACATTAGCCATTACTTGCACGTGATCGAGATGGTTTTCAAGAAATCAGATCTGACCAGCCACGACTATGGGTTTTCTTCCATAAAAGACAAAATCGTCGAAATGTTGAACGTCTTGTATAATTTCGGTAGGGTGGACTCGGCGGGCCCGATATGGCTGTCTTACATGTATATAATGTACTTGAGATTTGCCAAAAACCTTAAAGCCGAGCAATACGACTTACTCAATAGCCACCAGACCGTTTGCAAGCTACTCCGGCGGTACACTCTAAACAACTGCGACCAGCAAAACGCGTACAACGATCAGTACAGCAATTCGGCTTATTACCAGCAATTGCAAACGCTCCTGGAAAGTCCTGTGGGAAACGACTCGATCCTGGTGGGGTTCACGGGAAGCGTCGATCGGGCACTGACCAGCATGTACCAAAGTGTTCAACGGTCGTTGGTGATAGACAATCATGGATTGTTATTTTTAATTTCTAATTTGAGTTTAGCGTTTTTATGGCCAGTCCGACATGTTGTCAAAAGTCTGGTACACGAATTTGCGGAAATCGACCAATGGCAAAACGCGTACGGCCAACTGGTAGAACACTCGAGTAGAAAACACTTTGACTCGGTGCACGACTTGATAAAAAACCTAAAGGAACTGCAGGATTTTTTAGCCGACTTGGTCAAAATCGTTGTGTTACAATCGTCTTGGAAACACTTGCTTCAAATCAACATGGAAGTGTTGTTTGACCTACAGCAACCGCATACGGTAGAAACGTGGGAAAACGACCGTATGCATTTCAAATTAAGGATAAAACTTTTAAATCATACGATGGACAGTAATGTGAATAAAATAATTCGTTATTTCAAATTAAACAAGCATCCAGAAATGACATTCATCGCCAAACTGTTCAGAAAGCCACCCGAACAATTCTTTGCGGTAGAACACAACACGGAAAACAAAAAACTCATTTCGGAAATGCTTGATAATATAAATTCGAAATTATTGTTCGGCTGTCGTTTGAAGAAATTGACTTCTTTCAAAATCACCCTAGAATATATCAGAAACCGATCGGTCATATTGAATGAAATAAAAAACAAATACAAAATTAATTTGACCCATTTTGCTCAAATCGAGAGTACATACTGTGTGTCTATTTTTGTTAAGTTCATCAAAAAAGTATTTAGAAATATTAGTTTTGAAGTAATACGTTCGTTTACGGAGTTCGCAGGAGAAATAGTTAATAGTTACAAAATAAGTGAATTAGATAACGCCTGAACATTAATGACACAAATAGCTGTTTGTAATTTGAATTATATATTTTGTTAAGTTATTAACAATATTGTGACGCCAACATAAATTTAAAGCACTTTATAGTATTGTTAGTGTATAATTGTAAATCGTATATTGTTTTTGTGAATATTTAGTTCATAATAATAAACGATAAAATTGTGTAATTCAATGAATATATTATTAAACCGTATCTATAATCTACATCCAACGTATTGTTTGTCCTTGCTTAACACATGAGCAACTATGTGTTCATGGAAAATTGTTTCAAAAATAAGTGTTCTATAATTTAAAAAATTATATTTTTATGTTATACAATTCAAAATAAATAAATCTTAGTTTTTTTACGAAATTAAAATATACTCATTTCACATTTGTATTAATAAATAATGATCTGCTAAAAAAAATGGCTAGTCGATAGCTAATATTCTTGAGTTAGAAAGTTTTAAATGCTTAGATAAAGAGAGTAGAGCAAGTAAATATAGTACCAATTGCGTTAAACCTCTCCCTTCGTTTTTACTTTTATTTATCAGCTGTCAGTTGATAATAGAGAAATAGTAATTAAATTAATACATTTTTAATTATAATTATTTTCCCCTTACAGAAATAAATCGAACCAATTTATTAACCATAAAATTTTTAAAGACAAAATGTATTAACCAATACATTTAGTATTATTACTACAATGAGATATAAGTTGTATACTTTTCAGACCAGAAATGTAAATTTTTAAATTTAGTTTAATCTCTACAATCACTAGTTTTTTTTACTTGGTTATTTGTAAAGCATATTATTGTGTAATGTGTTTTAAATAAAAATATATTTAAAATATATTTTTCAGTAAAGAAATATTGTTAAAAAGAAAAAAAATTCTATAAAAATTAATCGCTTCATGCAAGAGTTAGTCTCTGTTACTCAAATGTCACAGCGGTTTTTTGTTTTGTATAAAACATTAAAAATACCTCTAAAAATCCCAAATCCGACATTTCACATCATTAACCAGAGAGCAAGAAAAATAAATTTATACCTAACTACCCTTTACTGTATTTTAGAAAGAAAAACGCTGTCTACATAGAAAGAAATTTTGTAAATGATAATTGATGGCGTTATGCAGAAAGCAACCAACCCACAAAAAAAAAAAAAAAAATAGGACGAAAAAATACTGCTTCGCAAATACTTTTTTTTTGTGGGTTGATTGCTTTCTGCATAACAATTCAATGTATTCAATTGTGCTCAAAAAAAATTATACCCAAATCCTCAAATAATACATAAACCTTTAACAAGCAGTCTTAGAAGCCTCAAAAAGTGTACTATGTGATGATCTGACTATCAAAGGCTGCTTTTATCATCTCAGGCAAAGCATACACTGAAAAGTTCAAAGTTTAGGCTTAAAATAGCACTATCCTGAGAGTAAAGTATTTCAAAATTGTTGTAATATTATGTTCGATGGGTTGGCATTTGTACCAGTCAAAGATATGCCAAAAGGATTGGCTTTTTTTTAAGAACAAAGAATAATCGGAACTGATAAAAAAGTAGGAAATGCTAGAAAAATATTGACTGAAAAATTGTACCACATTACCCGCCACCGGCCACACCTATGGAATGTCTACGACACTACTTAAAAATCTTTAATCGAATCAATAGCATTATTATAATAGCGGCATTGTATCTAAATTGCCTATACACAACGCCGTCTAACCTGCCAATGTGAGTATAATAATATATTATTCTTATTAGAGTCTATTAAATAGCGGTGTTAGGTATAGTATTCTCAAGAGTGTTATTTTTCACTGGTAATAAAGTCACTTGGTCGTATTACAAATGCAACGCACTATCATATTTGTATCATTTATCAACCGGGATGTAACGGTATATTATTTTGTGGTGTCAAGTATATGTTATAAGATATGACATTGCTTAGATTACCTTCGAGTTGATAAAGCGCTTTAATCTTCAAATGTCAAAAAATATCGATTCGCCTAATGAAAGAAAGGGTGAGAGAGAGAGGGGGGGGGGAGTTTTTCGAGTTGAGATTTTTTCTTTATAGTTGTTGTTTTAGTTAATGTTAATTGAATTTGTCGATCAAATATTTTCAATGATATTTTAAATAAAAATAAATAAAAAGAATAAACTAATAGTCAATACGATTGTTGAGCATGGTTATTGTTAACTTAAACGTGCCGCTCAAGGGTTTCGAGTTTTTGAATTTATCCTGTACCATAATCTAAATAGACGCCTTGAGCAAACATTTTCAAGATTATTCGGCGCTGTGTGCTTTGTTAATTGTGTTGTTTTTGTTAGCTCGATCGTTGCAAACGGCGCTCGAGTGACAGTCGACACTTTTTACAGTTTTTTTTGGCATTGTGTTGAGATAAAACCGCGTAATCGCGTTTCCGTACCTTCGTGATGTCTTTGTCAGTTTATTGCAATCATTTTATTAATGTCAATACTGTTAAGGCGGCAAGACGTTGCGGTATTTGTCGCATGACTGCTATATTAATGCTAACATAGGCCCATGGTTTGTCGCGTGGAAACGATTTTAATTACAAAACGGCGGTCATTGTGCCTTGATGGGAAAACGCCTGCGAACTGCGAGATAACGCGGTAGACGACCGGGACCCAAAATGGAAACAACAATGGAGGAGAAGGTACTACTACTTAATTGTAATGGGAAAAGTCCCCGTTGATTGTCACTCACCGGCTGTGATTGCTTCGACGCCGGCCGGCGACCAACTCTCGCCGTCCCTGAGCAGTAACACAGTTGTATTGTTTGGCAGTGTTTTAAAATAATCCGGATCCTCGATTTGCGTGCCATCGGCTTCCAACACCAAACGGACCGTTTCGGCGGGACCGATGTTCAATTTCTCTTTACCTGTAACCAGCGTTTATGATGTCAATAAAAAAAAAGATTTCACACACATATATACACACTAATAACAGTATACAAAAAAAAATAATTTATAACAAATAACTAATTATTTAGTTATTATTATTATGCCAACCGTTACGAAAGTTAATCACGGCCGAAATAAATAAATCATAATTATAATCATTCGTTTTATAATATTGTTATTTTACATACGAGGTACTTATTTATTTTTAATTTTTCCTCATGTTCGAGTATGCGACCAAGCCTTATCGTAGAATAAATTATTCAGATATGGCTATGTTGCGCGCCTGATGATAAAGAAAATATTGAATATTATTGAAAAAAAAGTAATAATACTCTCTCAATAGGATATTTGTTAAAAAAAGAAAATAAATGTATTTATATAATAACAAAACGAAATTGTAAAATTAACGACCTTGTGTAATGGATAAACTGCTGTATCATAATACTGATAAATTTGGCACTGTAAAATTAAAATATTGATCAGCCTATATAGCGAACAAGGATAGTTACAAAATAGAGTTGGGAGCCTGGCGTTCAATACATTTTTTCAAAAAAGAAACCTATTAAGATCAGTGCCGGATTTAACCACTGTGCTGCTATAAGTACTAAACAAATTGCCCCCTATTTTAATATAAATATTTGTCTAGTCTAAAAAATGCGATCCCATTAAACGCGTGAAAATTTTACCATAAAATTCGGAATGATTTTGTGGGAAAACGGCTGGACAGAAATGAACATATTGATTGGTTGAATACTTTCTTAGGTACAAACAAAATAGTACAACATATCTGAGGTTTCGAGATACTTGTCTGTTGTGTATACGTTTATGTAGGCGTTGTGTATGTATGACGGCGAGGGGTCGGAACGGGGGAGTCCCCACCATTGTTATGTCTACAGCTACACTGTCATGCAATTGTTGTGTATTGTGCTGTATCTTGTGGTGTGTTGTCTTTGTGTTTAATTTGCTAATACTGACGGTTAATGCTATATTTTTATAAAATAATTAAAAAAAAAACTAATGATGTCCCAACAAAAAAATCTTCGTTAACTCAGTGTAAATGGTAGCTAAGTAAAAAAAAAAAAATAAGTGTTTCACCACATAAGCCTTAAAATACGTGCTATAATATAGGAACTAAGTAAATACTATAATGCAATATATTTATTATACATCATTGTCAACAAACAAAATCAGTCGACATATCAAACCAGTCATAAAAAAATCGAAATTTAATTTACTTGGCCGGAAGTCGTAAGTCTAGTAAATATAGCACATGTTATCATGGTACATAGTAGGATAACTATAGCAGAAAAAAATTTAACTTCCAGCCAAGTAAACTAAATTTCGATTTTTTCATGACTGTTTTAATGTCGACTGATGTCGTAAATAACCCCCACCAATAAATTGTTTTCGTATTTTAAATTTAAACTAATTTTTCAAATTATAAGTTCATTAGGTTTATCAAACTAAATGAACTATAATACTCAAAAAAGTTTTTTTCGGTTAAATTAAAAAATGTCGTCATGTAGATTACTCCACCACTCATCGATGAAACACATTTTGACGGCAACATTTAAAAAAAAAATCATATTAAATTATATGTATAAATTTTGAAAAACCATTTTTTTATGAAGTTTAATGAATACATAATATCAACATTTTCAGTAAGATTGGTGTTATATTTTGGTTGCAAAAAGTTTTCAATTTTTTTATAGTATTATTATTAGATAAATAAAAACTAATTGTTAACTAAAATAAATTCCCATACAGCTGTTTATAATTTAACAAATATTATATCTGCAATTAAAATAGCTGTGAAATTAATCAAGAAATGTATTAATTGAATTGTATTACTGTTGAATTAACAGTGTTTTATATTTTTTATATTAATACATCCTTTTTTGAACGCATGTCTAACAAATAATTGTTTATATAGTGAACAGTGACTCTAATTTATTTACTCGGGGATTTCGTTCTGCTTCTAAAATTAATCACATTAATTTATTTATACATATATAACTTTAAATCGTGTTATGGTTAAGTATCGTATTTTATAATCGGACAAAATGTGTTTATTTTTTGTCTATAAAATAAAGTGGTTCAAATATTCATCAACTTGCTAATACAACATGTTTGAAACAATAGACACTGATATTTAATTATTGTACTAAATTATTTCAGCAGTTATATGTACCTATGTATTAGGTATAAAAAAATGTAATGTATTTTCTTACATTATGGTTAAAGAGACAGGGCGCGATGCTTGCGCTTGCTTTGCTAAGCTTCTTTTTTATACTTCAATGAGAATTCACAAATTAATTTGAATAAATATCTTGTATTTCTTACGCCACGCCTACTTAAAGACAAATCAAGAGAAGAGTACTTAAAGTAATGTGATCGTTTTTATATAATTATCATAAGTTTTAAAAGAACTATAAAAATAAAAACAATCATCAAAGTCGTCCCTTTTAAGTAGAATAATTATTGTATACTTCAACCTTGTTTTTAATATATGCACATTTAAAATGTTAAGCCAAATTAACATAGTTAGTAACTATAGTATATAATTGCATTATGAAACTTCAGAGTTTTTTATTTAGTTGAACCGTTTGCCACGAAATTATTCCATAGGAGTTCTGGTATTTCTCTAATTAACATTTTTAACCTTTTTAATTAAACCTTATTTTGTCGCTACTCCATATTTTCCCAAACACACTATCTGTCGGTTTACTTAGGGCCTTGGGATTTTCCAATTACCTACCTTAGTAGAACGACCTTTTTTAAATATATTCTAAGCTATCGGTGGTAGAAATTAATGAATTTTCTGTTAGAATTAACGCCTCAGCATATTTTTTAATTAAGCGCTCTATAGATACATTTAAAATTCTAAGTATAGATGAAAACAAAACTTTTAGTATGATCATTTTTGTTAATCAGGGGCTATATGAACTATTAATGGTGTGTCTAAACAAATATTAATAATATTCTTAAATTTAATTTGTTCACCTCGACTGTGGATGTATTTATTATAGCTGGCATTTAAATACTTTGTTAAATACTTATATTGTTTTTTTACTGTAGTTTTTATCAAGGACATTACTTAATTTTTAATATATTTGTTGAAGCTATAATATAAAATCTAGTACTTTTTGCTTTATTCAGATTTTCATTCAGAATTTAAAACACTTTTTAAAAACAAACTCAACTGAACAATTTTCGATAAAAATCCATTTGGATAGTATCTTAAATTATTTTAAAAGGTACTTTTATGACACTAGCAGGCAGCTATAACGGATATCTGTTCGCTAACAACTTTTAAAGTACATTTTGTATAATTCTTTTGATCAAACTACAGCACCTCCTTAGGGAGTTTGTATACACGTTCCGAGTAACGGTATATAAATATAATCTTATTTTTTCTTAGAGTTATTGAAAAAAGTAATCATTGTCAAGTCAGTGTTCCTGAAAAGGTTATTATCGTCGAGTACATAAAGATTTAACTAGTATTTATTTAAGCAACATCTACCATGGAGCGACATACAATTTTTAAATCACATTAAAAAAAAAAATGTTTTTCTTTATTGGTGTATTGACTGTATGTATATTGTAATGTGTAGCTTTATATTTGTAGCGAGTAGTCGTTCAATAAAAACAAATCTAAAGAAAACATCGGCATATGTATAAAATATACTTCGTTACAAAAAAAATCGTTTGTTGTCCAAAAATGATTTTGGTTTAATATAATGACGTTGCTTAAAATGTTATTAAAAAACAATTTCTCCCTTTATCTTTATAAATTTGTAAGGAATTCTTGAAAATTAAAATTAGTTTCCAAACGCAGAGCCAAAGCCTGGTTTAATTGGCGCTATTCTGCTTGCATATGTATAATAAGGTTAGGGTACTTGGAAAAATATGTATGTAAAAATTAAACTTTGTATAATATATTCAGGGGATTTTGTGGGCTAATAGTCTTTTTTGACATAATTTTTGTAATTAGAGAGTGGATTTTAAGTTAAAATTATTAATGCTATTATGTACCAATAAAAACATTTTCTAAAATGTGTTAAAAAAAATGATCAAAGCTGAAAATAATCTCTAATCACCAATATATTATTCTCTAATAGTTCAAAATAATACATTTTCAACAAAATCATTGATAAATTGTCCACGTTTTTCACTGTATGTCTGCAAAAAGCCAATAAATATGTGAAAATAAATAAAACCATTGTAATCATTCTCTATATTTAAAAAAATTATGTAACAAAAAAATACCAAATGTTAAAGTATTCTCTCATCTCCAAAATGTGCTCTAATATGTAAAATGAATTTATTACTAATTCTGTGATGGACAAATCGACCACATGTTTAACTCACGTTGAGTTGCTAAAAACCAATAAACATAATAGGTATGTAAAAACTTAAAAATCCGCTTTCTGGTTGAAACCAAAATGAATAGCATTCAAAAGATAAAATCTTAATAAAAGTTACTCTAAAACTAAAAATTGTTCAATTAAATTAATTTAGGTTTTAATAAATTTCGAAAATGTCAATTAGTTTACTGGTTCATTTGGATAAGCTTCAAAGTACTAATTAAATAATTTTTTTTTATGAGTAAAGCCAATTTCGTTTATTTTTCTTAGTATTTTGACATCATGAAAAGGATTTTAAGGACAACAAATTGAACCGAACAGAAAATGTTTTTCGCGCTAAATCCGTCCCACGTAGCTGCCCCGTTCTACAACTAAGTACGCCATCAATGATAACACAATGGGACGTGCAAAAATTTAATTACAAACGTGGCGCATGTTGTATTTTGAAAGCACTATAAATCGTTTTATGCAAGACAGCGAAACGATGGCATTCCGGACATAAATTATTTAATGTTGTTGCTTTGACCTAAAAATATTCTTAATGAAATTCAACTTGTCGCGAGAACGGCTACTGGATAAGACAAACGTTGAGATGACGTTGTCGCCTGGCATTAAGTCGTTTATGTATTTATAACACGGCAAAGACCAGATACTGTTCTTGGTATATGCTGTGTTTGCTTATTTTATTTTTTGCTCGAGGTAATATTATTTTCGTTTTAGAGGCAAGTACATAATAATAATAGCACGGGACATATACAATGTGTTATATAGTCGATATCGTTGAAGACAATAATGTTACCTCAAAGCTTAAAACGGGCGTTACCCATACAACACCGTCCAATGAATATAACATTAGTATGCTTCCAACGTCGTACTTACCTCGAGATTCAAGTTCGTTCAAGCTGGAAGCCACTAGGCTTTTTCTCGTGTTTCGATAACCGTCCCATATTTTAAACGGTCTCTTCCCCCGAGATTCCTGAAACAAAAATAATATACACCACTTAGATAAACGTTTGTCGTGTAAAAAGATAACTCGTCACAGAATATAATATATATTATATATTATGAGCAGTAACGGGCCACAGCGATAATAATTATTGTAATACAATTTTATATATAAACTATAATAATATAAGGCAAATTAAAAAAAAAAAAACATACGTTCATGCACAACCACTATAGAGATAACGCTGTATAATATAATATATTGTAAACTGATATATCAAGGTCAATTTTCAGATAATTTCCAATACTCAACCGGTGTTACAGTGTTATTCCAATTAAAAAATATATAGACATCCATTAACGAAGTTTAAAAACTTCTACTAAAGTATCAACACCTAGGAAAGAAAACATTGCCAAAGAAAATGTACAGCCTTTATGGACAATACCACTAAACCTTACTCATAGTGAATGGGAAAAACTTACAAAAATTAAAGAAAGTTCGGCCAAAGTTGAAAAAATTCCTCCTTTAACTACCCATTATAGCACGGAAAAAGCACTCTAAGACTTTCCCATTTTGTTTGAGTTTAAACCAAGGAACATAAAAACCTATGATCATTTTCCCAAGTAAAGAAGTAAAACTTTTCTTAATTTTGTATAATATTTTAGACTTGTGAAGTTGAGTGTGAAAACCAGACAGATACTGTATAATAGAGAAAACTTATATAAAACACTGTTTGATTGTGTGCGTTAAAAAGTTTTTTTTTAATTAAAGGGATTTGCAGTCTTGAGATAAACGCGTTTGAACAATAGTGCGAAATCTCGAATAGCTGGAATATATTATTATACTTATAGATGTCGTTTTGTTTAAACACTAAAACATATTTTAACTTGAAAAATAACTACTCCAAACTGTTTATCGTTCAGCCGATATAAAAAGTACTAAGCTTATCAGTTTAATTAGATGCTCCATAAACTATATAAAAAAAAAAACAATTTCATTACCACTGTCAGGTGCCGTTAACAGATTTGTGCATATTTTTATTCGAATAATCTCTTATTATTCGACCAAATCCAAGATGAATGTTTCGACTAAAAAAATTATTTAAATAATCATTTAGAATGCCCAATGTTGTTAATGTTGTTCCCTCGTACCTCCTGTAGCATTTATTTTAGTATAGACCTTGGAAAAAAAAAGAAGGAGACATTCTAGTGACAAACAGGGTTAGGGTAGCAGTTGAAAGGGTTTATTTATAATTACAAATTACTCTGTCCCAATGTGTTGTCCATATTTTAATTATTTTAAAGCACGTTGGGATCGGTATAAGGTTAGGTTGGATGTCGGACAGAGGACTGAACCAAGCGTTCCGGTTTGGTGACATACGCGGTACGACAATACAGAACTCAATTATAATGTTTGTACCTTTATATAAGTACTACTACTGCAAACATACTGATGATAATTGGATTAGCGGGTTGGATGGCATTTTGCAAGTTATTCGGTAGCCCGATTATGTTGGCCGCATAATAATATTGTTATCTCAAGTGCACACCGAGAAAACCCTACGACGGCTAATCGAATTCCGTCGAATCAGTAGTTCCGGGACAAGACAATTAAAATAGTTTCGAGTAAGTATGTGTCTAGTGGAACAGAAACACAGCCGGTCGTTTGTAATCAGAACCCAACATGGTCAGTAATTCTATTCAGGGACTGTGTAAACTCGGTTGACTAACACAAACGTAACCTGCAATCAGTTAATTCGTTTTAGCGTGCAACATTCTACCGAATCTGTAATCTAAAGTTTTTTTTTAATTTTAATTTTTTCTACGACCCTTTTATTTAAAGCTATACTGTTGGCAGTCAGGCGACTTTTTATTGCTTTTACTGAAAAAGTTTTAATATATTCTGTGATGTTCAAAACATTTTTTTTTCTTAAGTAGTACTACAAATGTATTGTTTTTATAGTATAACGACCACGGAAACTCTAAACATTAAAAAAAAAACCAAAATAATATAAATTTAAAAAAAATTGTATTTAACTTATGTAATACGTTTGTGGGTGTACGCCATTTACTTCAAGTAGCAAAAATGAGGTCAGGAAGATGATGTCCGTCTTCCATGACCATAAACGATATTTTGTTATTTTTAAGTGTTAAGGGTTTTTGTGGTCACCCTGCAGTAATAGATTTTGCTTTCTAGATAGTTTAAAAATTTTGTTTCTGTTTAATAGCAAGAAGAGGGAATTAGAGTATTACATTTAAAATACATATTTTCTGCGTTTATAATTACTTTTATACATAAAATATTAAGGATGCCTGGTGTGTAAAACATGAACGCTTTTAAAAAGGGTCAAAATATTAGTTTTTATCCAACATAATAGTATGTACATCGCTAATGGTTGTGCCACACTACCATTAGTTGAACATGTAATTTATAGAACTCCGGCAATGAACAATTCTGCTTAAATGAAAATAAATTGGGTGTAATACTATGTATCATATTATAACAGTTTTAATAAGAAGTCGAATTTCTTAAAAATTGAACAAAAGATTTTGTTTATAGAATGCTTTTTGGAGTATATAATTTGTGTATTTATAACAATTAATTAGAGCAAATGGTCATTGCTTGAGTGTGGTAATATTATGTGGCCAAGAGTCAGAGCTAGTCTGGGCAAGTTGATAAGCTTAAAAATACATGCCCAAACTATTTATATTTCTCCTCCACATAGTATCTTAATACAATGATTTGGCTTCCATACGCAATTTATTTTATGTACAGCCTAAGGGATTTTCTAACAAGACAAAGGAAAAAGTACATAGTAATATAACAGATAGAAGAAAACAGTTGTACCCTTAGCATATTATATGAGACAGGGTAATTCGTTCAGGGAACTCTGGTTACGTCTTTAGGAATACTAGGGATTGAGGATCATTATTTTCCGACAGTGCCTTTAGGCTATATCATTATATACTACAATACTATTATTGATGTAGGTACAGTTCAGATAATATGTCAGATATTGGTTTGCATACCCAACCATAGTTGGTTAGGTCTCATGAATAGCATTGAAAGTAAATGTTCTATTTAACGATAAGGATTTTTTTAAAAATAAAAATGACATAAATCCAATTATACCTAAAATAAACTATTGGATGTTGAATATGTAATCAGAATTATGAAAACTTTTTTTAAATCAAATGTTATTCAAATATTTTTTCATTTAAAATGTGTAAATAATTTTAAAACAAAATTAAATGGATATCTGTTTAAAAAACCGAACAGCAAGCTATACCCAATAAAAAAACAATAATGTTTTTAAAATAATGTCAAACATTTTATTAATATTTTAAAATCACGTTTAGTAGGAGATTCAATGTTTAAAAACTAATATTAAACAAAATTTTATTTAAATAATATCAAAATGTGGAATGTATTATCATAATTTTTAAAATTTTAGTAAAACATTGGAAATAAATGTGTGATAAAAATATATTTATTAAATTTCAATTGATTTCAAAATTTCTAAATACTTTATATATAATGTGACCAATGAGGAAAAAAGAATAATCACTATAGCTGTTGTGTTAAATAATTATTTGTCTAAAAACTATTTCTGGTTTCAAAACTTTCTAAATAACTTTATAAATAATATGTCTCAACATTTTAAGTGTCAAATTTATCAGAAAATAATTACTCGTAATTAAGTTTAAGATTATTTTAGAACTTCAAAGATCTAATGGTTTTAGAAATAATTTAAAGTATAATAAATTAAACGTCACCGACCTACGATTTAGGTCTGATACATAGTTAAGAAGGTATTTGTTTATGATGTTATTGTTTAAACAAAAATTTAATAAGTACATATTGTTGTTATATTTATGACAAGTGCTAAAGTCTCATGGAAACTAAATTATTTACACAAAAAAGTCAGTAAATTAATTTTAAAAAAAAATTACAATTTTAATATACGTCTTTCATTTCCCCTTATAAATTAGAATATAAAAGCAATTAATTTTTTACTTAAAATGTGTCATTAAAAAAAATATATATATAAACCAAAAAAAATAATTTAATTTTATATTCATTATAGTATTTAATATACAATTTAAAACTAACTATTGAACAGCCTGTATTGGGATTTAGTGTTTAAATTTATTCTAGAAATAATATGAATAAAATATAAACTTTAAAAGTCACACCGATGTGATATTTTTCTTATTTTGTATTTAAGTTGTATCCGCATTTAAAATTAAAATACTTTTTTGAAATATAGTATTTTTACTTCACATTTCCCATGCCATTTTTACATTTTTAAGTTAACATGAATCACTTAAAGTAAAGTTCCACATGAAGTTTTAGAAAAAAAACAAATATGCTTATAAGAGTCAACATTCAACAAATTATTATACATATACTATCATATTACTATGATGATAATAATTATCTATTTCTATAATCGATTGTATTACCTAATCATCTTCTTAAATCTGTTAAATCATTTAGATTTTATAAAACTTAGTAGATAGATATTTATAGATATTTACACTTTTATTAAGAAATTATAGAACTTAAAAAAACAATGTAAATTTATATAAATGCAATTTTTGTTTAGTTAAAATTATTTTACTAATAAACTGAGTAACATTAGTGTGTTATACATTTTAACATAATACAAATTATTGTATAATTAAAAACTTCTCAGCTTCTCGTCGAAGCTGCGTTATTTCTATTAAATGATCAAAGCATAACATTGTAAATATTTTTTTGTCAATTGAAACATTTTAACAACATATTAAAAATTAAATTAAAAAAATTAAATACGTTTTCCGATTTAGTAAAATGTTGACGGTATTTTATATTTTATTTTGTTTAAGACTAGTCTAGTATAATATAAGGAGTCACTTTTGACCGGAAATTCCTATTATTCAAATAAATTTTACTTAATATACACAGCTCATATTTAAGTTTAATTTACTTAAATACATTTGAAAAACTCAATCCATTAAGATAAACAATTTATAGAATTTTCGACT